ATCAAGTGCATCCACCTCGGAACTACCGTATATCCCGGAGCCGTCGATATACGACGTCAACTGAACAGCATTATGTTTAATTGCTTGCAGTCAATAATAGCACCTTAACGGAAAATTTCCCACTCGTTTGAGTCCAATAGCGACAACATTCGCAAAACGAGTTGCCCGGTGTCAACTCGTTTATTCATTGAAAATCCGCACTACTATCATTTTACAATGCATAGCAAAGAAGAGAGGAGAGTGATTCAAGACAGCAGATGACATCCGAGCTTTCCACCTGTGTCGAATCAAAAACATCGTGCAAGAAACCGCCTACTGCAACATCGTCATACAGTTCGAACTCATCGTACGCTATCAATATTAGTCAGCGTTTATTCCCAGTGTGGTCAATTTTGATAAAAACGTGCTCTGTCTAAGGAACGAAGAAATGACATTCAACCAAAAAATCTCAATCGATTTTACAACAGCAGGATACACTCGAAAATATCTTACAATATTCATTTGCTCTCTATAGGTTAGTTGGCGGTAGATTGGCCCAGTCTGACCGGATCCACACGTAGCGCTCGAACGTTCCACTTCAATGCATTTAATTTTCGGTGCATGCCTAAAACATGAGTCCCATAAAATTTCTATTTTCGTGAAACAGGTGCAAACCGAAAACCAGTTCAGATCTCTTGGAGCTGACAGATTTGACTTGCTTGAACAATTCATCTGCATAAAACACGTTGTTTTGAATGGCTAAACTGTTATGTTCTAAATGACTGAACTCACTTGGACTTCAATCGCGGATCCTCTGGTGGCATTGGAACGTTATAGCAGGGATCGAGATTTTCACATGTTTTATTACATATTGCTCCTTTCATATAAGTTTGGCGGGCCAAGCCGGGCGCAGTTTGCTCGATATCATGTGCTGAAATGACAAAGTAAATCATCTTCTGAATTGTGCCCCTCTGCAATCTAACGGATACGCCTCATTCAATTCTGCATTTCAGGAATTACAATGAATTCTAGGGTTCTCCACTGCACTTTTTTATTCATCAGCAACTCATTGTACACCTCTTTGTTATCACAAATACCATCAATTCCTTTCGTCGACATCCTTTTTTCCATTTAGTCACTAACGTCAGCATAGCAAATCATTCGTCTTCAAGAAATACTCCTCATAAACACTGCTCCAAAACTATGGAACAATAATGAAAACAAGAAGGTCGATGCAACACTGACCCAAGAACTGGCCCCATTGCTTCATCATAGCCGAATAACCAGGATGAGGTGTGATTCGTTCGGTTGAGATAAGCTTCAACGATACCGAGCGAGGATTCGGCTTCTTGAAACCAAAATACAACTTGTTAGGATCCCATCCGACTGGCGTATTGAAACCGTTCTCGTAAATTGGTGGTAAGTTTCGTCTGAATGGCGTTTGGGCAACACCCCAAAATTGATGTTCCATGTTATTACACTGACCATCATATGATCTGCAATACAAACACAAGCTAATATGCACTTCACTTTAGAGTGCGCGGAAAATATTTTTTAGAGTGTGATTAATGCACAAAGCGCACATTCGATTTGCTGCACTTCTCTTGTCGCGTCTTGACAGATGAATCTGCAAAATTCTCTATTTTGGCCTGCTTTTGATGGCAAACTTATGATTCCACTACTACCATTTTTTTTTCATTTTTGAAACGACTGATGACTGAGCGATATTTTCACTACAATGGCAAAGAATTTCTTCATGCGCAGTTTAGTTCACGCTACCCTCAATGTACTAAATGATGAAGTAGCTAAACGACCATTTCATTATGCATTCGCATAATTTCATTTCCAAACTTTTGCCAAACGATTCTATTTTCTTCTATTCCGCCCATCAGTTGTTCTGTTTCGCTCTGTTCCTCGCGTCTCCTTTCGGAACTAACTGTTCTGTTCTATTCCTTGGAATGGAACAGGAATAGAACAGTTTGATTGAAGAAGAAACATCAATAATTCGCGCAACAGCTGCACTGCAATCAAATAGGACCTGTATTTCGAATATAAGCACATATCTGAGCACGGATTTCTGAACGGTCCAGTAACACAGCCAGACAGCTCCATTATTGTTTGAATATGTGACACGGCTAGAACGGACTCAAACGAGAAGTTCGTCGGCAGATCACTGATCGATAAGTTCAAACCTGTAACGACGATTCCACTTTTGGAGGGTTTACGGACGTGAGCCAGTCACTCGTAGGAACTCTCTGTATGTGGCCTCAGCCACTGTCAATTAAATGCCACTGGCTGGTGCAGAACTACTCTATGAGCCACTTGAAAAAGAATTTGCTCGGTTTTCAGGGATATGATTGTTAGCAATTTTTGCATTCCCTCGTTTCAGCACACA